AAGTATCAGAAATCCTGCTCCACCCAACCAGGTCCTCCGTATCTATGTGCCTATTGTTCAATTTTCTTTCACACTTAAGGGTATGTGCTTCAGGAAGATTTGTCATTCCCCATAGTGCCCCCAGTGCTTGCCCAATGTGTTTGCCCTTGCTGGTCTCTCTTTCTCTCTCTCTCTCTCTCTCTCTCTCTCTCTCTCTCTCTCTCTCTCCCTCTCTCTCCTCTTTGAAGTCTTAGTCCCTGGCAAGGAATAGGTACTAAATATTGGATGAGCTGATGAACTGATGGGTTAGCTAGGCCACCTCATCAGAAACACACACACACACACACACACACACACACACATCCTGCTTCCCACCCAAGGCTGGCCTGAGTGGCCCTTCTGTGGACAGAGCTGGATCTCTGTGCTGATGTGCTTGTGGTCATCATCCATCCATCCATCTGTGTGTCACTCCTTCCGAGGATGCAGTGAGCTCTGTGTGGTCTTCATGATTGACTATTTGGAGCCTGCAGATTGTACACAGAGCAGATGGTCCATCATTGTAGGTTGAATCTTGCAAAGAAGGCTTCCAGGGGCCATGGACATGGCTCACTGGGTAAAGCAGTTGCTGCACAAGCCTGAGAACCAGAGTTTAAACCCTTAGGACTCTATTAAATGAGTGGCCATGATGCCCCTGCCTGCTTTCCAGGACTCAGGGAGGTGGGAGGAGGATCCCAGCTGGCTAGCAGGGCTAGCAGAATTCTCAAGTTCTGGGTTTAAGTAAGAGATGTTTTGGCCTAGCCTCACTGGCTCCAGAGGCAGATGGGTCTGTCAGGATTCTGTCAGGGAGTCCAGCTCTGACTTCAAGGTAGATCACGTCTGTGCTTATTCCCTGGCTACAACAGAAAAATAATGCAGTGTTCACTCTTCATAAATCTCTCTCACACACCACATCTGGGGCCCCAAACTAGGGATTTCCCACCCCAGGCAACACTAGTTTATAATATTCTCCTTCCTGGTGCCTTTAATGTGGCAGTAACATAAAATGCCACCTACAGAGACAGAAGCCTCCTGGAATCTAGGGTTCCCACCCCCTTCTTAGGACAGGACCATGGACTTGGTTGAGTGGCTGAGTTATTCAAGGAGCTATAAGATGGACATATTAGGGCACTGGGATCAGGCTGTTGGTGGAAGACAAAGTCATTGGGCACTGTGGATCTATCTGTTTTTGCCTGATAGTCAGTCAGTAGCAGAGGCAGTTAGGTTCCACCCCGAAAGAATCTAGAATTCTAGGCCATCCCTCGCCTTCCCTCTTGCCAGATGGAGCTGTTCTGAGGCAGCTCCAGCCTAAATGAGCCCACCCTTTCACTCCTGCCCTACCCCACTGCCCTCAAGGGGGCAGCAGTCTGTGTGGCCCATGAGGAGACAGACTTCTGACTCCCAGCCAGACAGGAGGACAAGACTGCCTGACCCTCACCTCAGCCTGAGACCGCCTGCAAGCCCCAGCAGTGAACATTCCAAAGACTCCTAGGAAGGCAAGGCCTCTTCGAGGACAGAGACGCTTTGATGGCATGTAATGCAGAGTGTCTGGGTTCCAGGTTAGAATCAAGTCCATGGCTAACTGTCAGTCCTATAGATTGGTTATCTACACAATGACCCATATCATAAAAGGTATAGATTTGGGAGTTATTACAATGATTTGCCAGTAAGTGGCAATAAAGGATCACAAGAAAGGGATTGGAAACAAGCAAGAGACATTCCTTTACCCGGCTAACAAACATGTGGGAAACATAGTCCTGTGCCCAGTCACACTTTGCTGCCACATGCAGTGGCTGCTGAGATACAGCTTCTGGTTTCTAGGAGCTCACAGACTGGATGTTTGAAGTCAGGGGACAGAGTGGGACCATAAGGGTTGAGAGTACTCAGGGACTCAGGAGTAGCACCCAGCCCAGCCAGATGAGGTTGCTGCTAAGAAGAACAAAAGAGCAGGTATCACCTATGAGAACTCTGGAAGGTGAGAAAGAGATGGTCTGGCAAAACAGAGGTGTGAGTCTGTGCAAAAGACCAGAAGCATAAAAGCAGAGGACATATTGAAACATCACAGGAGGTGTGTGTGTGTGTGTGTGTGTGTGTGTGTGTGTGTGTGTGTGTTTGTCCATGGAAGCAGCTGTAAAACAAGGTGTGGATAAAGTTGGCCATCTGGTGGCAGGTTCCCCAGTAGGAAGGAACCTGGGGTTCTGGGCTGAACCCTGAAAATCTGAAACTATGGGACATCTGGAAAAGTTATGAGACTTTGAATGACAACTCTACCAGGATGTGGGGAATGGCCCTGCCCCATTCCCTCTTGGGGTTAATGGGAAATCAAGTCTTAGGAGAAAAATACCAGAATCTGTGGAGGTATAGGGCAGACTGGAGAGTAACTGGGACACTAGGGAAGATGGGATCTAGACAAAGAGCTGGCTATTGCCTTGCTTCCATAGTCTGGGTAAAACTCATGAGTCCTTCAAAGAAGGAAAGCAGATACTTTAATTAGACATTTGCTAACTTAACTTATTTTGGTAATTAGTTTTAAGTGCCTTCTTGCCACAATGTAGAATTGCCTAAGAACATCAGCTCAGGAATTGCTAGATCAGGTTGCCCTGTGGATATGTTTGTAGATGATTGTTCTCATTGTTGACTGGGAAAACCTAGCCAATTGTAGGAGGAACCATCCCTACTAAAGCAGGCAAGGATGGGTTTATCTTCTTCTTCTTCTTTTTTTTTTTTTTTGAGTTTATCTTTTTTTACTCTTGTCTGTGGACATGCTGTGAAATCTTGAATTCATGCCTTGACTTCCCCAAAATGTTGTGCTGTAACCTGGAATTATAAGCAAGAAAGAAATAATAACAACAACAAAAACCCTTTCATCTGTAAGTTGCTTTTGGTATGACTTCACAGCAATAGAATTGAAATTAGAATACTTACCAACTTTAAATATTAGTTATACACCTCATAGCTCATTTGCTGTTTTTCTCCCGGCCCCACAAATACTGGAAGTGGGATGGAATGTGCTGATTCTTTTGTTGAGGATATGTGATTAAATTCTTGTTGTGTGAGGGTAGCTACACACTTTTATTGAAAAACATCAATGTGAAAGAAAGAAAGAGAATGAGGGTTCAGGATACAGCTGGGATACAAAGTTAATAAACTGTAACTCATTAAAAAAATAAAAAAAAGAAAGAAGGAAGGAAGGAAAGAAGAAAGAAAGAAAGAAAGAAAGAAAGAAAGAAAGAAAGAAAGAAAGAAAGAAAGA